TTTCCATTCAAATATTGTATTTAATATTCATCGTATTTAATTATAAATACATTTAAAATACAAACGTATTGGATATTTTTATTTAAAACAAAATAGTTTAAATTCTGTTTTTTAAATAAAATAATAACTATTCTTTTGAACAATTTTTAATGATTGGAACACTTTATTTTAAATAAAATATTTCTTTAAGTATTTGATTTTAACTATTTTAAACTTAATGATGAATACAGTATTTAGTTCAGATATTTTATTGAAATAAAGTTATTAAAGATTTGGATAACTTAAATTAAAGCGGAAATAAAGTATTTCAGAGTATTTCAACTCTGTCAAATATTGTCCATCTCTGTGTACAACGCATATATTATGCATTAAAGTGTGTTTGATATTATTTAATGCGGGTACCAAAAATTTTTTATTATTTCACTCAATTGAGAGAAAGAGTTTTTTTTTGAATGTCTTACACAACAATTGGATAATTCTTTTGTTTTTAATTTACATTGCTGGTTTCTCGAAAAAGAAATGTTACTTTAAAAATGTCTCTAATTTTTTGGTTGGATTTAAAGTGAAGACCAATTTATTATTTACTTAATACAATGAATATTCATTAAACAATAACAGTTTTTTGAATTTATAATTGAATTTGATTTCGACCAATAGATATATTTTTGAATACCAGTCGATCGATGGTGTTAAAAAAATTTAGAAAAATATAATATTTTGTGCACGTACGTAATATTTACAATTATTTCTGTGTTTATAGCTTGGACCTTCAATAACAGGGAAATGTTTGATAACATAATTGTTAAATTTCAAGTGTTATCTTGATTACCGAAAAAATTACGGAAATATTTAAAAAATATGCATTTACAAATTTATTAGTTGTTCATAGGTTTTGAGAGAATTTTATCATCGTTGAATTTTCCAACATGCTTCCTGATAAATAAACCATTGGAATTTTTTACTACTCACTGTATATAGGATCTTGTTTGCCGTTTTTTAGATCGATAACTGCGTCAATAAAGTCGCCTCTTTTATTGCTAGTTTCTGCACGATTTTTGATACTATTCCATAAATATTTCCTTATTAACGATCTGCTTGACAGAACGCAAAATCCAATGAAAGTTAACAATTCTGGTACGTAAAGCAAATTTAATACAGCAATCTTTCTTTTTAATCCATAGAACAAGACATTGCCTAAAATTAAAAATTAAGTGTTATGTTACATAGTTAGGGAAGTAATAAAAAGATTAAACTGCGCGAGTATTGATATTGGAAGTGAATTCGTAAGAGATGTGTATGGTACAAAAAATTTTATGATATTTCTATATAAAAGTAAAGGTATAGTTTTAGATACAGAACCAAAATTATCAAAAATTTTTTCAATATTCATTGTAAATATAAAAATAATTGATTTTTTTTGTTTATTCTCATTACACCAATGAAGGGCATCATAAAAATTCTGTGTTAACATTCAGACGTAAAAAGCGTATTTATCAACTACTACTGACAGGTAATTTGTTTATTAAAATTTATCGTTAATTTAATAAATACAGACATACGTATATTATGTATGTGTCTCAGGATCATACTGAGAAACAGTATGTTATAAAAAGGTAATATTTACAAAATTTCAATTTGAGCAAAAAACAAGTATAATACAATACATCTGTTAAAACTTTGTAGTATTCAAATGTATAACATTAAAATTTTAAATAAAAAATGCTTTTTTCTCACAATGATTAATACAACATATATTTTATATGTTGTATATGATGATGTATTTTTATCAGATTTTTCAAAATTGCTACAAATTAATGGTCTTTTAAATTTTAAAACACAATGTTATAACTGGTAGTAGTCAACGTACGGGAAATCAATAAAATATTACCAAATTCCGTAATCTCGTTAGGATTATTAAAAGAGTCCATGGATATACCAAGAGCCACGTTGGCAGTAGCATCGGTGGTGTAATAGTAACTCAGTTTCTGTGCATCAATCATCATATGTTTATTTAAATTCTTACTTTGCTCCTCCAAATATTTCATCATAGTTTCAGCATTTTGTATCAACAGAGGCAGCATTTGCTTTAATCTGCTGCCATTGAGTGTTGGGGTCAATTTAGACCTTAAATACTTCCAGGCTGGATTCTTAAGACCGAATAGATTGGTCATGCCCATACTGTCCTTCTGTTGACTACCTCCAAAATGCCGGTCTGAGAAGTTTTCAAAACTTCTTATCATAATATTTTTAATAATCTTGGGATCACGAAGTAGCAGACATGGCTTGTGGAAGACGTAAAATCCAACAAAAGGCGCATCCTTATTGATGGTGGAGTTGTGGAGTACACCCATGTGCCATCCTGGGGCAGTGCGGAAGAGCATGGCGTCCTTAACGTGGCCAAACACTAGGTCAGCGTTTGGCAATTGCTCGACACCTCGCCGGTTCCAGTAGTTTAGCTTGTATCTTGCGTAAAAACAAAATATCAGTAGTAACAACCCCACGATGAGAAGTACAAAACACAGGCTGAGGAACGTGACTGTCATTATCTTTATTTAGGTAGAAGCTTGAACAAAAATATGCCAGGAAAATGTTATCAGTATATCAAAGACAAAAAAGTTCAGTTTTTGTTTAGTCAAGAGCAATTTTTCACTGTCTAGTCACTAATCTAATCCCTGAATAATAGTTGTTTTTTTTTTTCCCAGCCAGGGGTGGCAAACGTGAGATCAGGGCATTCAGGGTAGTACATCGATCAGTGGGACTAAAGTATCAACTGTGGCCTCGTAGGTACGGAAATAATAAATTTCATTAGTATAGTTGTTGGCTCAGCTTTTGCTTCATTTTTTGTGTACAGTGAGTTTGTATTACACTGTTCAAATGTAAAGTAGTACACGCAAGTGAGTGCAATAAAACCAAAAATATTTTCGATAAAAAGCTGGCACTGCCTATGTTCTACAATAATTTGGTTGCAAGAGTCTTTTGAGATTTACGTTACCAGACATAGTGTGGCCTTGTTTATGTAAGACAGTGTGCACCAGGTGGAGGACTGGAGGAAAGAAAGAATTTGTCTCTGAGAAGCGCAATGAAATCATCAGGGCATGCATGCACATATATGTGTTTTGATTGTTGGCGAAGTACAATATTTTTTTTATGAAAGAGTGATGTCGTATTGTATGTACACTTATTAATAAATTGGTTTAAGTTATTCATCGGGAATTACCGTAAGGGACTCATCACACTAAAGAGAAAAGAATGCCTATCTATTTATACTAGAGCTACAGAAAGTTGTTGAATATTGAAGAATGTACGAATAACACTAACATTTTTACACAATATGTAGAATTTATTTTCACTGTGCTTACTGATTTGAATATGATTCTAATTATTCACTCTATCAAAATACACTTTTACTTTTCGTCTGATGATATTTACTGAATCCACAGATTTAAATATGTCTTTAATTATTCACTCCACTAAAAAAAAAAATTTACTTTTCATCTGATAATTAATTTAAGTATGTATTTTGATGTGCTGTGTATATTAAAATTCAATTGATACTGATGCTCCCGAAAGCAAAATCTTGCTTGGTACCCACGTTTTTTCAGTACTCTACACAATGCGTTAAAATATATATACAAAAATATTAACAAATGTATGCGTAAGATAAAAATCAAAGATAAAAAATAAAAATCAAAAGAAAAAAATCAAAAGCCAACTGATAAGTACCACTCATTGTATTAAACTTATGATGATTGAGCAGAGACTGTCAACTTCTCGAGTTGAAACACAAAGTTGCGGTATTCGTGATTCAAGAGGGGGATAGTAGACGTTTCGAAGCTGAGCGTCAAAAAAATTACAAATCTAGTTTACAGTTTTAATAATAAGTGACTCTCTGGTGGGCTCATCGAACAATGATGTACCAGTCATTATTTATCTCGTATTATATATCGTTAGACCAGTGATTTTGAGTTTTTGCTGATTTTTTGAGATATTGTCGACACGCATTGGTCAGAAATTTATAAAAATTTTGTAAACGTTTTGCAGACAGCTGTTTCTTAGCATTAGTATTATGTTTAAGATCAATAGATTTTTGATATCAAGGAAATGTCTTTAATAATCCTTTAATACACGTAAATTATAAATACATCAAACCCACAATATTATTAATAATCACCTCTACAAATTTTAGGTAATTAGGCTAAAATATATTTATAATTATTTAATAACGATTTGATTTATATTAGGGTATGAAAATACACGTAGTACAAAATAAATACAGATATTTTTATGTTATTTTTACATATGAAGTATGTCTTTTTCACAAGCTTCAAACGTGTTACTACAACACGCTTTAGACGTGGAGCGATTTTGAAAAACTGCACGTTTGAAGGATGTTTTGCTAATTTCTTATTTTCTACGCAAATCATATTTTCTGGTGACAAATGAATAATAAAGTTGTACATTACTTAGAGAAACTAATGAAACAAGCAGATTTATGCATTTCTACTGAAAATCGTGAAGAAAAACACTTGAATTGATAATACTCCGCTTTAACTTAGTTACTTTAAAATTCTTCCTTTTCCTACGTAAATAAAAAAATATACACACCCAGACTACCACTTACAGAAGACAGCGATAAAAAAGGATATCTAGAAGATAGCGATAGGATGGGAACAAAATAATACGTACTATCACTGGCTCACAATACAAAGTACTAATATACTTGTGCGCTGCGTGACAAGTAATGAGGAAAGATGTATTCGCTGTGAGAATAACAAGTGGTGCCCTCAACTTGTGGCTAGTGTAGCACAGGGGTACGACAACATGTACTAACTTACAGGTAAGAGTAATTTTAAATGTTTTAACAATATCTTCACTGTTATTCACGATATTTACTCTTGGACTTACGGATCAATACTAAGATAAATAAACGATTTAAAAGTATTTTTTTAATGCAGTGTAAGTGTGTCAAAACAATAAATTTTAGTTCTATTTTTTTTTTAATGACAATGTTCCCAGGAGACTCATGAATGCTTCTACTCAAAAACTAGAAATTCTCCGAAAAAAATTAATTAANATGGATTCTCCTTGAAAAAATTACTTATAGATATTAATCAATCATTTCTGTTTTCAATAAATATTGGAGGCGTTTTCGAGAGGTGTGGCCTTTGTTCCGTCGATACGTACATACACTTGCGAACTTACGATGAGGCGCGTGTGGTTTACCGGGACGCGGAAAACCCGCTTGGCTATAATCGCCTTTTCCGTAACGATGCCAAGGAAAATATGTTTTTTTTTTTTTTTTTTTTTATTTAATACATTTTTTTGGTCAAAAATATTTTTAATGCATATTAATGAAATTATTATAGCCATAGAGCTAGAAAATAAGTTTGCAAACGTATAAAAGCGAAACTTAATAGTTTTGGTTATTCAAAATAAAATGATTGTGTGAAACGTAACAATTAATTTTTAATTCATTTATTTTGTGTGACTAGTATTTAAAAATAATTATGAAATTCCAAAGTAAGCTTATTTTTTTATGGTTTTCTTTTTGATGACAATCAAATAAAAAATAAAAATTTTTCTGTTCAATTACTTAATTTTTTTTGATCAGGAACTCTGCTTCCTAAGCTTTTACCAGCTTTGCATCGCCTTCCCCCGTGTCATATGAGAACGAGTCTTAAGACTCCATGCATAGTTTATGATGACGTAAAAATCTAACCATCAGTGATTTTTTTATAACTAATACTTTAAATACAATTGGTTACTGATCTGATAGGTACAGCAAAATACATAACCATACTCAAAAATTTGTTACGTAGCATGTTTTATTTCAAACCCTAATAATAGAGATAAGTATATGGATACAGTTAAGTCAGTGGATGCAGAAGATTCTAGCTATCGATAAAGAATAAAACTAGTCCACTTCTTTACTGTTGATTCCTTCCTTCAGCCTTACTTTATTTAACACTTTGGGCAAGCTCGAATTAGAAAAAAATTAATGAGTTTCCTTGTAACGACAGCGTTTGTATACTCACTTAGGTCTCAATTAGTTCCTTAAGAATCAAGCACCATACAATATATTTATTCAAACAGACAATACAAAATAAAATTTTACTATCCATGCACTACGGAAGAACAGAAATGTTTGAAGTATCAATAAGTCAAAATTAGTTCCAAAATTACTGAAATGGAACTCGTACATACACATGTCCGGAAAATGTTGCTGTAAAAAAACGCCATAACGTCTACTTCGGCTACGTTTTTAGCTAATGTCAACTAATCATATATAACATGAACTACACTATTTAGTTATTTTATTGAATCGAAGACTTATTGACTCTGCTGCAGCTGTAAACATGAATCTAGAATCCAAGACCAATTCACTTTCTGGGTTCTGCGTAACACTGTACTCTCGTAAAATCATGGCCAAAACTACTTTAGCGTGAAGCATGCCTAGCTGTTTACCTGAAACAGCAGAATAATAATTAGTGTATGAGATTCATAGTTATTGTGAGTAAGTATAATCAAATGTAATTTTATTTAATGTATTATTATGTAGTATTATAACTGGTTTTCCACATGTATCCATTTCTAGGATTTTATGCATTTACTTAATAATATACCACTACACCAATAACGATTTGATTTATATTAGGGTATGAAAATACACGTAGTACAAAATAAATACAGATATTTTTATGTTATTTTTACATATGAAGTATGTCTTTTTCACAAGCTTCAAACGTGTTACTACAACACGCTTTAGACGTGGAGCGATTTTGAAAAACTGCACGTTTGAAGGATGTTTTGCTAATTTCTTATTTTCTACGCAAATCATATTTTCTGGTGACAAATGAATAATAAAGTTGTACATTACTTAGAGAAACTAATGAAACAAGCAGATTTATGCATTTCTACTGAAAATCGTGAAGAAAAACACTTGAATTGATAATACTCCGCTTTAACTTAGTTACTTTAAAATTCTTCCTTTTCCTACGTAAATAAAAAAATATACACACCCAGACTACCACTTACAGAAGACAGCGATAAAAAAGGATATCTAGAAGATAGCGATAGGATGGGAACAAAATAATACGTACTATCACTGGCTCACAATACAAAGTACTAATATACTTGTGCGCTGCGTGACAAGTAATGAGGAAAGATGTATTCGCTGTGAGAATAACAAGTGGTGCCCTCAACTTGTGGCTAGTGTAGCACAGGGGTACGACAACATGTACTAACTTACAGGTAAGAGTAATTTTAAATGTTTTAACAATATCTTCACTGTTATTCACGATATTTACTCTTGGACTTACGGATCAATACTAAGATAAATAAACGATTTAAAAGTATTTTTTTAATGCAGTGTAAGTGTGTCAAAACAATAAATTTTAGTTCTATTTTTTTTTTAATGACAATGTTCCCAGGAGACTCATGAATGCTTCTACTCAAAAACTAGAAATTCTCCGAAAAAAATTAATTAATTAAATAAATTATTAAAAGGTTAAGCATTCAGGTGTATTAATTTATGACATTCGATTACCCTTTTATCAAA